GCGTTTAGTTTTAGTTGATATTGATATCATTTAGCTCTAGGAATTATTTGGTTACTTTCTTACTCTTCTTTGCTTTTAGTTTCTTTTGTTCTTACTTTTGTTTTTGAGCTTTGTTTTTCTTGCGAGGTACTTGAGATGTCACATCGGCAAGTCCTCTTGAATTTCGTTCAACATGACTTGGAACCTTTACATAGCGCATGGTGGAGATACAATGCTTTGTTAACGAGGTTCTCATCTCATGGTTTCTCCAAAGAGTGTCAACTTGAAGTCTTTCTCAATAGGTTATGTGCCACGACAAGAAATTGGGTGGAAAAGGGAGATGGTACCACCACTTTCTACCAACTATTTATGGATGAGGCCTATTGGATGTTGGAAGACACGGCGGAGTATGATAAGTGGAATTGGGATTGCTCAATGACTAACCATGGTTGGGAGGACAATTACAACAATGTGGAGCCAAGTTTTGACACCTACCCTCATGAAAACTCAAGTTCCATTGAGACCTTGTTGAGGGATGCTATAGCTACGAATGATGCCATCCTTCAAAGCCAAGAAACTTTGTTGAGGAGTTTGGAGAATCAAGTAGGACAACTAGTTAATGTTTTAAACAATCGTCCTCAAGGTTCATTTCTAAATGACATGGAGAATCCTAGGCAAGAAGGCAAGGACCATGGTGAAGCAACCACTTTGAGGAGTGGGAAAGAGTTTGACATGCCTATGGATGAGCCTAAACAACAATAAGAGCCCCCTTTGATCCACGAAGAAGAGAGCAACAAAGATGAAATGGGAGACTTAAAGCTGAAATTTTTTGCTGCGGAACAGGATGCTACAGCAATGCAAGGCATAACAACAAAATGAAAAATCAGCCATTAATGTGCCACCGGTCATGCAAAAGTATATGTACGAAGATCCAATGTGGCCGCCAACTCCTCCGCGAGCATTAACATCGTACCTTGGTGTCCATCATGCACATGCTCCGAAATCAAGCCAAGTTGAACTTACGTACCACATATTTCCACATCTTGCCAAGCTTGAGGGCATCCATAACCAAGACCCATTTGTAGTGTTTTATGACACTTACTATGGGCAAAAGCCGCTCTTTGATGAGCTCTTCTCCAAACGTCCGACTAAAAGACATTAAAGAAAGCGCTTGTTGGGAGGCAACCCAATTTCTCTAATCTTTTTCTTGTGGTTATTTGAGTCTTTTGTGTGTTAATTTTGAATTTTCTAGGAACTTTTTTCTTTGCTTTGGTGTTTTTCTCTTGCAGGGTCAAGCCTGGGAGCAATGGAAGGGACTAGGAGGATTTACACTTCAAGGGAGCTAACGTGCCATCATGCCCAATCACCAACGAGGGGAGTTTCCTTGAAACTTTTCTTTATGCTCTTGATTGCTTACATATTGAGGATTTTGTGCTTAATGAGTTTGGGGGAAACACTTGTTTGTCTTTGTTTCTTTTGAAGAAAAAAAAAGTGTCTTGTGTTTTCTTGATGTTTGGTGTCTTTTAGTGGTGAATTCTCTTGAACTTATGATGAATATTGATAAGGTTAGATGCAGCGTTTAGAAAAACTTGATATCACCTTGTGTTGATTTTTGATTCTTTTGATTGCTTTTATCTTGGCTTGTGATTTTAGAAAAACTTGATAAGCTCTAGAACTTGCTTGATGAACTCTTGAAGCGAAATCTCAAATTAACACTTTACCAAGAAAATGATTTAGGCTATCTTTGGACTGTTTGAGCTTTGTGGCCGACCTTGATTCAACATATCCTTAGCATCTCCCGTTGAGCTTATATATCCCCTTTTTCTTGTAACTCTTATCTTTAGCCTAGCTGTTGCAATAACATACTCACCTTCTACCATCGTCCCTATGCATGTCAACATTCTAGGATTCATATAAAAATGTGTGTGTGGGAGGTAGGGTGATGGTTGAATGAAATTTTTGTTGCTCTTTTCTTGCTCCTCTTGCACCATTGAGGACAATGCTGATTTTGAGTTTGGGGACAGAGGGAGCTTGAGCTCTTAATGTCTAGTATGTGCTTCCAACCAATATATATATATATATATATATATATATATAACCCTTTGCTCCGCTACTTTGGAATGCTTAAAAAAAAAAAAAAAAGGAAAAGCGCCTTGATTTGCAACTTGTTGAGTAACCGGGTGACTTCATCACCAATATTGGCATTCGCGTAAAAAGACAAGTTGGCAATTCTTGGTAGTTCAAAAAAAAGGGGGTATAATAAAAGGGTATTTAGAAATAAAAGCAAATATAGTGGACAAGGGAAAGTAAAACTTGAGTTTGGGAGAGTTACTTGGGAATGTTATTTGTGTCTGCAAGGTTCTA